CAACTATCTTGCAACGTCACAACATCTTCTAAATGTGCCATCTTTGACAGGTTACAAGAGAAAATTCCGAGCATAGCGTCAAGACCGGCTCAAAAAGTGACTGAAAAAAGTTCAGAGCAGAGCATCAAGAGCGTGTCACAAGCTGCATGTGCCTGCGTCCGACAAGAGTTTCCCACCCCGTCCCCCCCACCCTCCTTCCCCCCACCCCAAAAATAATCACACGGTCGTGTGTCGACAATGTTGTGAAACGTTTCAAGCATCTTGCAACGTGCCAAGCATCTTGCAACGTGCCAACTATCTTGCAACGTCACAACATCTTCTAAGTGCGCCATCTCTGACAGGTTACAAGAGAAAATTCCGAGCATAGCGTCAAGACCGGCTCAAAAAGTGACTGAGAAAAGTTCAGAGCAGAGCATCAAGAGCGTGTCACAAGCTGCAGTGCTCGTCCGACAAGGTTTCCCACCGTCCCCCCCCCCACCAAAACCCTCCTTTCCCCCCACCCCAAAAATGAATCACACGGTCATTCGTCGACAATGTTGTGAAACGTTTCAAGCATCTTGCAACGTGCCAAGCATCTTGCAACGTGCCAACTATCTTGCAACGTCGCAACAGCTTCTAAATGTGCGATCTTTGACAAGTTTACAAGAGAAAATTCGGAGCATAGCGTCAAGACCGGTGCAAAAAGTGACTGGAAAAAGTTCAGAGCAGGGCATCAAGAGCGTGTCACAAGCTGCATGTGCCTGTGTCGGACAAAAGTTTCCCACCCCGTCCCCCCCACCCTCCTTCCCCCCCACCTTCCCCCCCACCTCAAAAATAGTCACACAGAAAAATTCGTCGACCATGTTGTGAAACGTTTCAAGCATCTTGCAACGTGCCAAGCATCTTGCAACCTGCCAACTATCTTGCAACGTCACAACATCTTCTAGATGCACCTCAAAAAGTGACTGGAAACAGTTCAGAGAGGAGCATCAAGAGCGTGTCACAAGCTGCATGTGCCTGTGTCGGACAAAAGTTTCCCACCCCCTCCCCACCTCCCCCCCCACCCCAAAAATAATCGCACGGTCATTCGTCGACAATGTAGTGAAACGTTTCAAGCACCTTGCAACCTGCCAGGCATCTTGCAACGTGCCAACTATCTTGCAACGTCACAACATCTTCTAAATGTGCGATCTTTGACAAGTTACGAGCGAAAATTCGGAGCATAGCGTCAAGACCGGCTCAAAAAGTGACTGGAAAAAGTTCAGAGCAGAGCTATGGATTCAGTCGCGACCTGGTTGGCTGACTCGCGACCTGGTTGGCTGACTCGCGACCTGGTTGGCTGACGCGCGACCTGGTTGGCTGACGCGCGACCTGGTTGGCTGACGCGCGACCTGGTTGGCTGACTCGCAACCTGGTTGGCTGACTCGCGCCTTCCTGGTTGGCTGACTCGCGCCTTCCTGGTTGGCTGACTCGCGCCTTCCTGTTGGCTGACTCGCACCTTCCTGTTGGCTGACTCGCGCCTTCCTGTTGGCTGACTCGCGCCTTCCTGTTGGCTGACTCAGGTTGGCTGACTCGCAGCCCTGTTGGCTGACACCGTCTTCGCCCCTGCGAAAATTGTCATTCCATATATATATATATAAACGTGTTCGATCAATTTCGATCTTTTAGTCCAATTCTACAATTAATGTCAATTAATTATATGTTCATGCATGCTCTTCATTGCAGCAAACAATTCATTCTAGAACTAATGGATTGGCATGCTATTTGTGTGCTCGCGCCAGTTATATAAGACATGACCCCTTGTCACTAGCCAAGCCTTTTCTCCATGAGCAATTCCTTCCAAGATGCCAGTATCATGCCTGCAGCCATGATTGGCTTTCTGCATGCAGTCTCTGCAAACCGCTAAGAATGCTTTTGCAATTTGGAAAATTCGGACATCTTGTTTGCATCTTTTTAAAACTTTCAGGAGCGTTTGACTGTGACCGGCGCCAAGCAAAACGTACTGGTTGGGGTCGGCCTGCCATTCATGGGAAGGAGACAAGAAATCCGCTACGGGGCTACGGGCACCAAAGACAACATATTCTTTTGCATGTGCGTTGCATTTGGCACCAGTACTCAAAATCTGTGGCATTGAAAGGCCTGCACTGACAAGCCCAAAAACTTGGAGTTGCGCAAACGCACGTCCTAGCAACAAAAAATAATGCGGTTAGGCTCATTTGGGCTCTGTCTATCTATACAGGTCTAGAGTCTAGGCCGTGTCGGAGTTAGCATATGTTTTCTTTACTCTGATTTGAAACCGTGGGGGGCATTGTAAATGCAAGATCGTATGAGCTAACATCATCACTTCCAGTGTGTCTTGCGACGAAATGATTCAGTGCAAAACCATGATCAATCGGTTGAAGTTTCTGATGCTTGTGGGGAAGTTTGTCCTCCACTTTCTTCAGCAAACTCTCCTGAAGATGACATGGCACGCGGAGTGGGCCAACTAAATACACTAAATTCCCACTCAACGCGACAATGTGATACCAAATGACATGTGGATCCATGATGATCCATGTGGGTGGGCTTATGTTGATTTGCATCTCCAGTTTTGGCCTGCTCTTTCTGCAGCCGTTCCTGGCGCCGAACAGCGCCAGCAGCATTCGAGATCATTCGATGTCAAAACATGACAAAATGTTTGAAAAGCCCGGAACGTAGCACATCTTTGCCCCACTTGGTGCCCATTTCATGCATCGCCTTCTCCCGCTCCAGCTCCTTCTCTCGCTTTCCCGCCTTGAACACTTCACAGCCCCTATCTACAAACATCTTAGCCTGTTGTCTTGAGTAAGAATTTGGCATAGTATAGTATAACAATATATAACATATATATATAATATGATGTTTGCAGACCATTTATTTGCATACATCATGTATAAATAGATATTTATTTGTATATGTGCAGTCAGTATTATGCAGTGATGTTCATTGTTCTGAGGCTGTAGCGGAAGTCAAAGTTGACCAACAGAGGAAAATCGCTTGAAGGTTTCTGAGGTGTTGCTCCATCTGGCAATGGCATGGAAACAAACGCAAATTCAGGTTTGCATGGCCAATCGCATGCTTTTTCACGCTATCATTTTTTGGTCGCTTGGTGATCATTACAAAATGACACAAATTCTGCAGAAAACAGAACATGTGCAAAATAAACAGGTTTATTTTGGCAAGTTTGCCTCAATCAAGCCCATGAGTTCAGGTTCGACACCCCATATGAAAACAGTTAGAGGTATGAAAGCGCCATGCGCATCGAATGGGTCAGGTGAAAAGTGGATCAATTCTTTCAATACATCTTCCTCGGCAGGTTTTGCATGGTTTCACAAGAAGAAGTTAAATATGGGGTTGGAACAAGACGGAGCTTTAGAAGGCAGTTATCTACAAACTTGGAGGAAAACAAAACCATGAAAAGTAATGACAAGTTTCCCATCCTTCAGGTATGACCATATACTTTGAACGGGCCAAGTAAACTGCCACAGACCACAAATCAGCCTCATGAAAGGGACGGGATCTCATTCATTCTGTTCTCACATTGGAATTGCAAGAAGCTACGCCCACAATCGTTTTTAAAACCTGCACATTGGAAAGGCACGATGATTCCCCCAGTGCTCGAAACCAAGCAGCTTCATCCCAAAGATCGCCTAACGGTAAGCAGAACTTTCTGAACAATTCCAGGTGTGAGATCCGTCGGAAACTCTGGGAGGCAGTTACGATCTGTGTTTCCGCGGTTTCGGGCCTCGATCTGGAGAAGCTGTGGGCAAAATGCGTGCAGGGACTTGTTGAATCAGAGCGCTGGCTCATATTGGACCACTGACGCTACCTATTGTACAGGGTATGTTGGCGCGGCGAAGAACATAATGTTGATTATTTTCATTTTCACATGATTTCCCAGGCAGGTGTCAATATTGATTTTCACGTGTTTCATGATTTTCACGCTTCCGGGTGTGAATTTCGTGTTTTCACATTCACAGCGTGGCTTTTCATGATTTTCACGCGGCTACAAGATGTGATTTTCACGTTTTTCACGCTTTTCACGCTTTTCACGGTCCAAGATGTGAATTTTCACTCTTTTTGATGCTTTTTTGTGATTTTCGTGCCTCCCAGTGCGAATGGTCACGCGTTCACGATCGCTGGTGTGGATTTTGGTGATTTTCACGCTTGCAGATGTTAATTTTCAGGTTTTTCGCGTTTTCACACTCCAGGGTGTGAAATTTCACGTTTTTCGTGATTTTCACGCTCCCTGGTGTGGAGTTTCGTGTTTTCACGTTTTCACAGGGCCAAATTCATTTTCGAGGCCAAATCCCTTTTTTAAGGCCAAATGACTCAAACGGCCTCCGGCCTTGTTTTTCGAGTCCAAATGCTCCCCAGGTATCTGTGCTGAGACCCCTGAGCTAGATGCATTTGTAAGATTCTCCACCATCAGTTCCACCATGTTCCACCATGACATCAACCTGGCCTTCTCATCGCGAGCTTTGGACGTCCATTCTCCTCCCATATCTCCCATTTGGCCATGGAGTTCTCCGTGGCCCGCTGGAACTTTGGCTCTGGATGTCCATCATCCTCCGGTTTGGCCAAGGAGTTCTCCAGTTCTCCACTGTGGCCCGCTGGAAGATCGTCAGCACGTCGGCCTCGTCCTCGGAATTCACCTTCTTCGGATATCTCAGGGTGGCTTCCAGGAAGACTTGCGCCTTGAAGCTCTCGGTTTGCCTCGGGATTTGCTGCGGATTTTGCACCACAAGACATTAGAATTAGCTTCAACCTTTGGGATCAGGCCACCTAGATCAAGATTGTTCTATGTAGGTTGCTGGAATCTGATTGTTGGATTTACTGTTGAGTTAGAAGATGTTAGAAGTATAGATATATCTAGATGTAGTTGAATGGGTTAACATAAACCAACAAGCATAAGTGGGAGGGGTCAAATTGTAGAAAAACGATGGAAAATTGAAGGTTGGCCCCCAACAAGAATTTGTTTTCAACCCGCAAAACTGATGTGTTTGACCCTAGAAACTAAATTAACGCACCCAATATCACCCAAGCAATTAAAATCACATTCAGTGGATTCCGAATTTGCTCAGTGAAAACAACATACAAAACACCAAAGCAAAGCTAGGGTGCTGATCGATGGCCATCAACTTATCCCAATTCACTCGGACCTCAAAGTAGTAGGTAGGTTTGCCCTGCTTGTTGGTTGGCGAGACTGCCATGGCTGCGCGGAAGGTGATTCTGCAGTTCTTCGGAAGGTGTTTTGTCGCCAGTAGCTGGAAGCTACTGTGGTATTTTTGGACACCGTACCGACTGTTCAAAAAAGATCAGACCCGAGCTGGATCATGCTCACTCAACATTTACACCCCCTACATCTAACATGGAAAGCCCCAACATGGTTTACTATCGGGTATGGCATGTGGCTCTTTTGGGGGTTCCATGTTCAACTTTGGGGCTGCGTTGGATGAGAAAGGCCAATGTTTCACACAGATTCTCTCCATACGCTTCTAAGTGCCCAGTGAAAGGCTGCAGGACCATGAGACTCCTCAACTTCCCCATCGGATGGTGGGAAATCCATGGACCTTAATATTTTTTGGGACCTAGCCATCCAGAATGCTACTGTGGATGAGATGAGATGTGTTGATGAAATTCACTCAGATGGTTTAAGTTCAGACTTGCAGGAATCCTTGGATCATCTACTGTACCATCCAAATATTTTTTGGCTCAATATGATCATGCTTAATAAGGGTTTAAGATGCCGTGGATTCTGTTCACCAATTCTGCTATTGTTGCCTTTGTCGAAGCAATTCAATACCCACCATATGGCCCGTTTAAAACACGTCATATTCATGTAAAAATTATTCCCCATCTGTGCGATGGTTAAATCCATGCAATCTCCCCATCAAGCTCTGTTGGTGAACAGATATAATCCCCGTTTGGTTTTCAGATATTTGATATTTGGCTCAATATTCTGATGGGCATTGTTTCTTATATAACAGTGTATTACAATGGAATTTTACCATCAATCCTTAAATTCCTTGGGACATAATGTTCAAAACCCTCCATGATTATGATTATCTGTTATGATTGATGGTTTAAATCCCAGTTATTAGTGAGATTATCATCTGTTATAATTGTTTAAGCCATTATCTGTTATGATCATCTGTTTTAATTAACAATGAGGATTGATATCGGTAAACCATCTATTTGTATGGGCTATGGCTTACCATGTCGAACTGTTAAATAACCAGAGGGTATATGTTATTGATTATTATAAAATCCTCATGATTATTTATGATGATGGCTGAAACCATCTGAACCCCCTGGTTTTTGGCGAAATCCCCATGGACTCTCGCCTGGAGATCATCTCTGAAAGATGTCTCCACCTTGGGCAATTGAAGGAGTATTCAAGCAGCAAATGCATGGGAAAACCATGGGAAATCCATGGGAAATCCATGACAAGCCGTGGAAAACCATGATGACATGGACATGTCACTATCGGAATTGGGTACAAATCCAGCTGTTCTAAACCATATATGGGGTACAAGATGGTACAAGTACCTTTCAGCAACCCAAATGGCTGGCCATCCTGTATAATATGCTCACCCATCCAATTTCCGAGGAGCAAAATTAGTTTGAACCATAGCAAAAGGCCAACTATCTATGCCAAGATGAAAAGGCCAAAAATGGATACATAATGATACAGAACAAACTGAACAAACCAATAAACTGATCATTTTGGGATGCAAACTGCAAACTGCAGGGCAGGGTCAAGTGACCACGGCCAATGCAACAGAAGAGTGACATCCCCAACTTGAGACGCCCACGCTGATCCCACCAATCCATCTCCCTCTCCGTGGCCCCCAGTTTGAGCCCAAAGATTGTAGGTGCGAAAAGATCTGTCACTGAAACCATGCTTCAGGGTCACATGACGCACAACTGACACCTCAGTGAAGATCCACAACCAGTACGGGATACAACCATGGAAATGGCAGGGAGTTTGTAGTCTGGGCAATCTGCACCTGCAAAATCTGAGGTGCACCTGGAGCGATCTGAATCAAACAAGTGGATTTGAGGATGTGGTGGTGAGTGGTACTTTGGCAACATAAAGCTGGTGGAGAGTCGGTGCCTTGGTCACACTCGGCTCAGCAATCTTTTCGCGCGACCACTCGCGCAAGAACATTGAAACGAACTGGGGAAACTATTTTCTCGGTGCCAGACCTGAACTAATCACATCCGCCCCCCTTGTCACTCATTGTCATCTGAACTCCTCAAAATGAACAAATCCAGCACTAAACCAGTGGTATACCAGTGCTTCTGCTGGGTGTTGATTTTTTTCGAGAAGGGATGGGTTTGGCAACCGCCTGAACTGAAACATATTTTCGTCTCGGCCATCATTTTGATGTGCGCCCAGGGGATTGCAGGATGGTCATACTTTTTCTGGTTCAACGCCTGAGCCGCAAACGCTGGAGTTCTTTCACTTGGTCATGGTTCAAGAGAACGACTCTGCAAATTGGATGGTTTGAGCAGCTACTTCACTTCGTGTGATTTCCACCTTAACAAAAACATGAACACAAATCATGAATAGATGCAAGTGCATATTAAATTCACGATAATGGCATTTATATATAGTGACGGACAATCACTTAGAACGTAAAAAAAATCCAAAAGTTTTTTTTGCACTTAGAACGTAGCACGAAATCAACACTTAGAACGTAGGCAAAATTTCGTCACTTAGAACGTAAAACCATCACTTAGAACGTAGGGAGGCCAATTCAACACTTAGAACGTAAAACCAACACTTGGAACGTGCTAAGTGATTGTCCGTCGCTATATAAACTATTTTTTCGATCTCAAAATCAATTAAATTTCCTTATATAGCGCAATTAAAAATATTGCCAAAAATTGGATTTCGAAGCGGACCCTAATAATAAATTTAGACCCTTAATAAGAAAGACTATTTTTTCGACTTCAAAATAAATTAAATTTCCTTATATAACGCAATTAAAATATTGCCAAAAATTGGATTTCGAAGCGAATCCTAATAATAATTTTAAACCCTTAATAAAAAGACTAGTTTTTTCGCTTTCGAAATCAATTGAATTTCCTTTTGTAACGCAATTAAAATATTGCAGAAAATTGGAATTCGAAGTGGAATCGAAATTATGTCTATGTTTCCTATACGGAATTAGCTGCTGAATCCAACACTTAGAACGTCAGAACCCCCAAAAAGCACCAAAAGGTAGAGTGTTCCAGAGATAAAAGATCGCCAATGTCAAATCATATGGGAGGGAAAAGCCAAATGGTACGAAATTATGTCTGTGTTTCCTACGGAATTAGCTGCTGAATCCAACACTTAGAACGTCAGAACCCCCAAAAAACACCAAAACGTATAGTGTTCCAGAGATAAAAGATCGCCAATATTTGCAAATCATATGGGAGGGAAAAGCCAAATGGTACGAAATTATGTCTATGTTTCCTACGGAATTAGCTGCTGAATCCAACACTTAGAACGTCAGAACCCCCAAAAAGCACCAAAATGCATAGTGTTCAAGAGATAAAGAACGCCAATATTTGCAAAACATATGGGACAGAAAAGCCAAATGGTACGAAATTATGTCTATGTTTCCTACGGAATTAGCTGCTGAATCCAACACTTAGAACGACAGAACCCCCAAAAAGCACCAAAAGGATCCAAAAGGTATAGTGTTCCAGAGATAAAAGATCGCCAATATTTGCAAATCATATGCAAGGGAAAAGCCAAATGGTACGAAATTATGTCTATGTTTCCTACGGAATTAGCTGCTGAATCCAACACTTAGAACGTCAGAACCCCCAAAAAGCACCAAAAGGATCCAAAAGGTATAGTGTTCCAGAGATAAAAGATCGCCAATATTTGCAAATCATATGGGACAGAGAAGCTAAATGGTACGAAATTATGTCTATGTTTCCTACGGAATTAGCTGCTGAATCCAACACTTAGAACGACAGAACCCCCAAAAAACACCAAAAGGTATAGTGTTCCAGAGATAAAAGATCGCCAATATTTGCAAATCATATGCAAGGGAAAAGCCAAATGGAACGAAATTATGTCTATGTTTCCTCGGAATTAGCTGCTGAATCCAACACTTAGAACGTCAGAACCCCCAAAAAGCACCAAAAGGCATAGTGTTCCAGAAGTAAAGACCGCCAAGATTGGCAAATCATATGGGAGGGAAAAGCCAAATGGTACGAAATTATGTCTATGTTTCCTACGGAATTAGCTGCTGAATCCAACATTTAGAACGTCAGAACCCCCAAAAAGCACCAAAAGGTATGGTGTTCCAGAGATAAAAAATTGCCAATATTTGCACATCATATGGGAGGGAAAAGCCAAATGGTACGAAATTATGTCTATGTTTCTTACGGCTTAGAATGTCAGACCCCCAAAAAAGCATCAAAAGGTATAGTGTTCCAGAGATAAAAGATCGCCAATATTTGCAAATCATATAGGAGGGAAAAGCCAAATGGAACGAATTTTTGTCTATGTTTCCTACGGAAATAGCTGCTGAATCCAACACTTAGAACGTCAGAACCCCCAAAACGCACCAAAATGCATAGTGTTCCAGAGATAAAGAACGCCAATATTTGCAAAACATATGGGACAGAAAAGCCAAATGGTACGAAATTATGTCTATGTTTCCTACGGAATTAGCTGCTGAATCCAACATTTAGAACGTCAGAACCCCCAAAAAGCACCAAAAGGATCCAAAAGGTATAGTGTTCCAGAGATAAAAGATCGCCAATATTTGCAATCATATGGGAGGGAAAAGCCAAATGGTACGAAATTATGTCTATGTTTCCTACGGAATTAGCTGCTGAATCCAACACTTAGAACGTCAGAACCCCCAAAAAGCACCAAAAGGAAAAAGGTGTTCCAGAGATAAAAGATCGCCAATGTCAAATCATATAGGAGGGAAAAGCTAAATGGTACGAAATTATGTCTATGTTTCCTACGGAATTAGCTGCTGAATCCAACCTTAGAACGTCAGAACCAATTGTGTTCCAGAGATAAAAGATCGCCATATTTGCAAATCATATGGAGGGAAAAGCCAAATGGTACGAAATTATGTCTATGTTTCCTACGGAATTAGCTGCTGAATCCAACACTTAGAACGTCAGAACCCCCAAAAAGCACCAAAAGGATCCAAAAGGTATAGTGTTCCAGAGATAAAAGATCGCCAATATTTGCAAATCATATGGGAG